TATTTATGAGAGAGAATGAGAGAGAGAGAGAGAGGGGGAGAGACAGAGAGAGAGAGAGAGAGAGAGAGATATTTTGATTGGAATTCACGGAGTAAAAGATCAAGAAGAAGACCGCGTGGAACCTAGAGAATGATCACAGAAATTGATGTACAGAAAAGTGGGAGGATATGAAATAACATCAAGAGGCTAGCCCAAGATAGCAAACGATGGAAAGTGTTTGTTCGTGGCCTATACCCTGGTCCGTGGTGACAAAGCCAATGATGATGATGATGATGATGATGATGATGATGATGATGATGATGATGATGGTGATGGTGATGATGACTACCTGTTACTTACTGCGACTTCAGCCTCATAATGCGCTCTTGGTTAACGCTCTCGTCTTTTATACTAACTCACATAACAACACCACGAGTGAACGCGGACCCCGGAAACCGAAGCCCGAAATAAAACTCATTGCGAAGCAGAACGGTTTTGTGTTGTTTTATTCTTCTTTGGTTTGGTTTTGTTTGATTGCGTTTTGTTTTTGTTGGGAGGGGGGTTGGAACAATTAACTCTTAAGTGTCCGGTGCGTCATTTTAGCAGGCTCACAGCATCGCTTCTAAGATGTTTACAGTCATAAGAAAGTTTGAATAAACCTCAGCCAATTCATTACATCTCTCATCAGACTTGTTTGTTTTGTTTTAGTAAGGTTTTTACGGCGCTCGCAACAGTATACGGTCACAAGAGCGCCATAGTTGAATATCAACAGGAAAGTCCATACAGGGAATCAGGTTTTATCTGCTCGCCTCTCCCGTCTCAATCGCATAAAGTCTGCTTCGAATACCAAGGCACCCCGGAAATAGCTGTTCATATGAGGGTGACAAACATACGAAATAAGTAGAGAAAAAATAACGATAGTAAGGATGAGGAAAGAAAAAGCAGCAGTTCCCCCTATGTTGTTTCGGCACAGTATGAGCACAACATTGATAAGCCAGCCCATTTACAATTCTATTGTGCGTACGAACATGTTATTATCCCCATTTGGGGAATAGCATTAAGACACTTCAGTCTGTAGCATTGCCCTGGGGGGGGGGGGGGGGGGGGCTGTTATAGGACTAATGTTTTCTGCTTAAACTTAGATCTCTAGATTCTTCTCAGTTTTTTTGTTTACACCATGCAAATCTGAGGCCTGCTGACAAAAAAGAGCTACCTCTCGCGATCCGCGAAAGGAGATGTCGACCAAGAATCGACACTGTGGTCAAATCAGTAGATTTTTATGAATTGATACCATTTTTTTTTTCAAGTTTAACATCACGAGTTATTATTATTTTAAATTTTTAAAAACAACATTTCATAGGTGCTCTGCTATGCATATTAGATGTCTCTTTGAATGACATCATGACAACGAAAAAATGCGTTTTTTTGTTTTGTTTTAGTAAGTGTTTTACGATGCTCGCAGCTGCATCATATCATATGAGCGTGCTTGACACTTGAATCATTTTCAGTTTTTGTACGAATTTTTCTCTTATTGATTTTGGACCACCAAGATCAAGATATCTTGAACCTGCGCAACTTGCACACGGGATCTCAGAGATTTTTAAGCCATCGTGGCATCGCGGTGAAATCAGGCGCTCGTCAAAATAATGAAATCGAAGAAACAGGCATTTTCTGCTAGTGTGGCAATTTCTATCGATTGTTCGTTGTTGTTTAGGAAGGGGTTTTTTTTTGTTGTTTTTTTTTTTTTGCTCACCATATTTAAGTCCATATAATAACACACTCCCATGTGAGTATATATGAAAATAAACGTCGATTAAAGACACAAAGAATGTCAATGTTCAGTTTTCAAGCACTTTAAAGCTATAAGTTACCACACTTTGACGGCAATGTCTCGCTTATTTTACCACTGAAATCAAACGACCTCAACCTCTTTCAATCGTAAATATCTCGACTTCTATTCAAGACAGATGAATATTTTTTTCACCTAAAGCAAGACAAAGGAACAAGCTTTACGGGGATACCAACGACTCCAAGGAGCGTTTGATTTTACTGCGTCAAGACAAATGCCAGGTTGTTGTCTGTCTGTTTGTGTGTGTGTCTGTCTGTCTGTCTGTCTCTCTCTCTCTCTCTTTCTCTCTCTCCCTCTCTCTCCCTCTCTCTCTCTCTCTCTCTCTCTCTCTCTCTCTCTCTCTCTCTCTCTCTCTCTCTCTCTCACACACACACACACACACTCACACTCACAAATACACACACTTACAAACACACACACACACACACTCAGACACACACACAAACACATACACACACACACACACACACACACACACACACACACACACACACTCCCTCCCTTCCGCTCTCTGGCTTGCGTTACAGCAATGGTATGTCTGTTGTTCTTGCTTCTCCTAGCCATGTTGCCATCTTGTCCAGTATCTTTTCCCTCTGTCTGCCTCTGCCTCACGGCATAGAATTAACAAAATGTTTTTGTAGTTTGTTCATTCAGTGGATTAGATCACGTGAGCGTGGGTTGTAACTAAATGGGTTAATTTCTTACTGCACAGTAGATTGGGTCACATGGAAGTGGACACTATAGAAGTTATCTGCGTTATTATTATCGTTATTATTGTTATTATTATTATTATTATTATTATTATTATTATTATTATTATTATTATATCATTAGTATTATCATTATTATTATTATCATTATTATTATTAGTATTATTATTATTATTATTATTATTATTATTATTATTATTATTATTATCATTATTAGTAGTAGTAGTAGTAGTAGTAGTAGTAGTAGTAGTAGTAGTAGTAGTAGTAGTAGTAGTAGTAGTAGTAGTAGTAGTAGTAGTAGTATCATTATCATTATAATTACAAACACATA